AAAGTCAACAAGAACCAATCAACATCGAGGTGTACAGGACAAGCTGTGGACCACATATGGAGAAATTCGAACGCTTCACATCTATCTGAATTTTGTGCTGATGATGTCGTTCAGAAGGACGATGAAAGCTCCACGACCAAACCATCCAGCTCAGAGAACAAAACTCCATCAAAATCATCCACCTAAGCTACAAATCTTCTCCACCATCTCAACAACTGATCCAGATGCATATGCATTTCAGGAAGACTTAGGTGTCTAGAAATTGCCTGATGCCTATCAACGTGTCCAAGTTATCTACATGCTTTTTGGGAATACAAAACTAAATAGGTACATCTTGGGGGAAGAGTCGGTGTGCGTAGCTCAGTCTCAGAATAATTCCAGAGTAACAATAAGCCATGATCATAAGACTGCGACCCACTTTCATGCTGTCGCAGCTAAGGAGTGCAGAAACATATGGGGTTTAAGATGGAGATTTACCAAGTTAGATACTATTATGTTCACTACTGTATACATCGTCTTAGTGAGATCTAAACTTGAAAAATGCGTCCAGGCTCCAAGCTCTTGTTTAAAAGGTGACTTGGACATTTTTGGAAAATTACAGAGAGCAGCTACCCGTGAAATTCCAGAACTATGGGACTTGTCATACAAAGAGTAGTTTAAGATGCTAGATCTCTTTACTCTATTTTATCGCAGATTAAGAGGTGATCTGATTTTGGTGCATATAATACTAATGATTGATTTTGGTCCTGATATATCCCCTCTTTTTCTTTCTGTCAGCTCAGGACAACTAAGAGGACATAGCAGGCGGATAAAAAAGTCAAGAACGAATAAAATACCATTGGCATACTGGTTTTCACACTCTCAGGAGCTTACTAGAAAAGGACTAACAAATGTCGTAGGCCTTCTGTCCTCAGTACACAAATCTGAATCTGAGTTTTATGAACTGACTTAAGCAATGAAGACGACTTTTTATTCAGCCAACTAAAGGATAATTTACCTGGTTTCGCCATGTCCATGTATATCTATGAATTGAACTTCTTCGGCAGGGAAAGCTACATTTGGTATGCAACCAGACAACTCAACTAGCGCGTTAGTCAACACATCTCTTGGTCGTTGGGATAGGGCATAACCGAAGCACTAAGCAGTTCCATCCTATCATACTAGGTTGACAGAGGTCATTTAATAGATGGAACCAAATCATATAGGGAAATTTATTGTATACCTAATACCTTTCCTTATGTGGTTCGGTTTCGTCTCCTAAATATAGTAGGAGGAAAAGATATCTGAGCTAACAACCCAAGTCTCTGTGTATATAAAAAATTTTCAACACCCCTATCTTTTCTCTGGTCGAATTAGGCTTAACAAATGATTTTATTTATTATTATTATTATATTCCACAATATTTATTCGTTTATTTGTCTATATCCTGTTTTTCATTCCTCACTATCTAGTAGTTTGAACAACTTCACATTACGTAATTCTATGAATTTTCAGTGAATATTATTTCAATGTCTATTTTCTTCCATATCTTTGACGTACTTATTATTATTATTATTATTATTATTATGAAATACTGATTCAAGCCTTCATTACTCTTATTACAACTAATACACCTGTCATCATACTGTGATGTGTGCTACTAATGTGGACAGATAGAAGTAGTATGTATCACCAATCGAAAGTGGAATGCCTGGGGGCAGAAGGTTAAAAAGAGAACGAGAACAGAGAGTGACTGATATGGAAACGAAGGAACAGTCAAATCTGAGACAACTGACTGACATTTTGCAAATGACACATTTACTGTGTGGTTCTCAGATTTTACTAAGATATTCTGTAATGTGTTCAAATACATTTGGTCATCCCCGCTTGTGTTGCCGTTCACTTAAACACTACTAATGTGTATTTACTAATTATTATGCTTATTTATGCAATCGATTTCTCTGTTATCCCTGACTCATGAAAAGCCTTCATTGGTTTAATATTTTCATGTATGGAAATAAGATACGTGTCCGTGAGTTTTTAGACTGTCTACTTGGCAGTGTTTAACATATGTGCAATATCAATAATTTTTCCGTTTATTATTTAAAAGAGCATATTTGTGGCGGAGGATTTCATTTCAAGCTATAATTTGCATTAAAATCGTGGACTGACCTAAGTTAGACCACTAATGAAAACCTGAAAGCACTGAATCGCCGTTTCGTCTCAGTATGGAACTTTTCAGAAGTTCATTTTCTTTCCTCATCCGGCGCTACAGTAGTGTTTTCGTAGAATACATATATGGATAGCTTTAGATGATTAAAATGAAATTCCGAGTAAGAAATACACTCTTATCTGCAGTACCGATACATAAAATGGACGGAAAAGTGGTAGCCATTGCACTTTCATTAAATAATGAAAATGGATGGTTAACCTCACCTTTGTATATCCACATGAATATTACTTTACACTACAGCTAAGCCTAGTGAGGATCTATTTGAAAACAATATTGTTCGATTATATTTGTTGTTGCAATTCTTTTGTTGTCTGTTTTGCTTATTTTAATCTCCCGTTTTTTTGGTGAAACCAGACACAAGTTTGGATGTATTCAATCCGTTTAAGTGGAAAAGTTCGCCAATGATGCTGACCTCGTGAGTTTTGTTAAGTTGAATATGCTGAAAGCAGCAGGTTAAACATCCATCCAATTTCTGTACATAGAATTTCCCACTTGTGATGGTCTTTCTATCCACTTAACTGAAAATCTAACTGTATCCTCCCACTCTATGTTGTGATGAGACAAAGAATTAAACGACAAAAACTTAAGAAAAGAACTTTAATAAACAATTGTATAACTCGTATAACGTATTCAGAAGCATGTAAAATGTAAATGACCAATCCAGTAAAGAAACTGACTTCAGTAGGTTTTTTGGCAAAATAAGTGAAGACTTTGCAAAATTACTGTAGAGTAATTATAATTGAACTAAAATACATTATTCTTTTTCATTCAATCAAAATAATGAACGACAATCAGTATGATGTTAATATTCACAGAATGGGTGGATACTGTTATACGCTGACTATGAGATTGCATTGAAAATATAAACAAAAAAAGGAGTAAAATATTATTTTTAATCGGTAAGTAAGCTTAAGAAAGTCATGGTAAAAAATCAATAATTAACATTACGATAATAGTAATCATAGTAATAATAATGATAATAATAGTGATAATACAGAACAACAATATTCAAATTTGAATATACCAAACAGGATGGACACTTCATAGACAAATTGAAATGAATTTCTATTTTACCTATTCACAATAGATTGTACTTATTTTATTGTCAGTTGAATGTTCACTTCTCAGATGAATTGTTGTAAACTGAAAGAAATATATAGGTGAAAAATCAATGAATGTAATACTTTCCCTTTTAATCTTCAGATTCATGTCAAGTTTTACTTTACTGAAGTCTCTTTAAAAACTAATGTGAATGAAAAAGAGAGAATAATTTGAAACAATAATAATAAAAGAATCAGTATCAAATATGGTTAATTTTTCATTTATGAAGGATGGTTAACTTTTAATGGCAAAACTATAATCTATGAACGAACCAATCAGATTTAGGATGACAAGTCTCGCATTTTGGCACTAAAATCCTTCGCCCATTTGTCTAAATAGCGTTTTGGCATTTTAGCTGATGTCAGTTCATTATGAAAACCATAGATCCAATTCCTTACCTTAACTATCAATTGTAAATCATAATCCATATTCTTCACATTGCTTTATAACCCTCACTTATCTCTAGTAAGTGAACACGCTCAGGGTCACTTTAGCGTCGCTCAAAGGTCGTCCATAAATTATAGTATCACCCTTTTGATTTTTGTTTTGAATCCCATGATATGACTTAGTGTTATGTGGCTCCTATCACTTTCTCAAGTGGTAACAGAGTTTATTAGAAAATCGAAATGATCATGGTGTATTTGGTTCTGGAACTGCGGATGATCATATGAGTTGAATAACTGAAGTTGACTCACTTTCCTGATATTCTGACAGAGGTCCCACTTTTAATCTCTTAACACAAATGATTGGATTACTCTGGATCTCCGACTTTTATCACATTTCTTAAACAAATTGTAATAAAACATTGAAGGTATACATATTACAAGTTTCTAAGTGATCATTTAAGAATAAGATACTGTAAATAATTTAGTTATGCCAGGGTTTCGAAGAAATAGGTCAATAATTATCATTTATAAGGTTCATTGCATACGCGGTTAAGTGCATATACATAATCTGATTTTAGAAACAAAAAAAAGCGTTACACTTAAAACTAATCGCCCGTTTGAAAGAGTTCAACTGATACATTAAGCGTTCTTGGCACTTACACGAACATTCAAAACCATTATCCATTAGATTGAATTCTTCTATAAAAGGTGTTCTGAAACGTTAATCTCATAATGTTAGAATCACAGAAATTTTAGAGTATAATAAAACCAACTTCATCAACTTCTCGGATATGTTTAGATTTGGAAATTATCATCACTTCTCAGCAAATAAGCATCGTACAAAATGTGATTATTTTCAGTTTCAAACAAAAGTCGGTCTCGTTTTCCTTTAGGAAAGTTTTGGAGTTACCATTAGTGAAGTTAACTTAAGACAACCTAACATCTATCATACTATATCTATACGACCATAACTCAATTTAATGAGTAATAAAAACTGTTGAGAAATATTCCGCTAAAAACAAATCGTACGATGTATGTCATATCTTGACGAAAGGTAAATCACTCTATCATGGTGGAAAAATCGAGATGGACTATTAATTGAACAGCTGGATCATGTAAACTATGTCCAGACGTTAATAAAAAGCAATGTGTGACTTTTGAGGGGGGAAATGAAGTGTTAATTTGAGTTCGCCTGACCAGTCATAGTTTTGTGATTTGTTAATCAATAAACATGCTTCGGTTACCAATGAATTTTCTCCGATTAACCAAAGTGAAAATAATGATAGACAGACACGTGCCACATGGTTAGTAAATGTACATGCAGTATTGATCATTCATGCCACGTACGTGATAAACAAACCGGATTAATAATATTATTTACTATCATATTAGATGTCGACTGTCGATCTTTGTGGTTGTCAGTGCAACAACACATGGTGTCTCCTAGTTTGGATGCAGATTATAAAAATGAATATTCAACGCTAAAAATGTTGTGTATCAATAAAATAATTTCATCTAATGGATACCTAAATACAAACAAAGCTAATTTTATATCAGGAGTTCTTGGAATTGTCTGGGAACATATGCTTCAAAACTTGATCCAGTCTAATGGTTCTAGTAATAGTCCTGCAAACATAGAATCTAACGATCATGAAAAAGAGGAAATTTAAGTCGATTAAAACCAATAATATTACGTTTACAATGATCTGCTTCACATTCTTCTGGTCTTCATATGCTTAAACACGGCTCTAAGCAGTTGGAAAGTACAGAATAAATTGTTAGTAAACATAGTTTTTTGAAGTGTTTATGATTCCTGAGCTATCAACTGTCAAAAAGCTGTAAGTGTTTCTAAAAATTTTTAAATACATTGCGTAATCATGTACAATATAGACCACATAACGTTTGCTTTTAAGAATTTCCGACGAAAAAACTACAAACGAGTGAAGTCGCTTGTAATTAATAGAATATCATGAAATACCTGTCATTTGCACTGATTATGCTTGCCTAAAAATCATTTGTCAACACATAAACTTACATCACATTGAGTAATTCTAATAGTAGGTATTCTAAACTTATGACTTCTATAGCAAGGTCACTTAATTGATTAATTTGTCGTGTGCGAATTACATTATTTTGTAAGATTAACTAGCACAGAACAGGGTGTTGAGAGTTTCATAATATACAAAAACTATAGACATTTTAGATATGCGGCCAGTAGGTTTATACAAAATCAAGTTTCGTTAGTCCCACTTTAAAGGTGAAGAGCTTCCCGATTGCAGACTTAATATTTTTGTGACAGAATTATACCAAAATAAAGGGAATCAATCAACGCATTCGCCAGGTACTTTGGTATGAACCTCTAAGTTTGAAGGCCATTTATAATACCTTGTTATCCAAACCGAAGTTGGATAGCGGAGTTCGAACCCAGGACTTAGTGGCTGACAGTCGGACCCCGTAAGCACTAATCCACCGCTCTATCACAACGACTAAGTAAAATCTGTTCCAGCGTAAATCCAATGACAAACTTGAAACTAGTTGATTGAAATGACCCAAATAGGATATTTAAAGTTAATCACAAAGATGTGCACGTGCTGTCTATGTTAATATAAATCTATCACATTACATCCATTTACAAGTCGCCTTATCTTGTTGTTTCAGATTGGCAGTTATCTTTTTTTTATTTATTTATTCAGTTTTGTTCTAAATTGCAATAAATTTATCCACAGATATATTTGGTCTAACGACTTTCTACCTTTTTTCTTGCAATAGACAGAACTTCAAAATTAATTTTTAGGCAATTTCATATGCAGATGACTGAGCGCTATCTTAGGTATATTGTAGTTTGATAGAGCATGAAAATTACTAACGCTGTACATATTTTTTGCATTTAATCAAGACTGCTGTCCAAGGAGATATAATATCGTGGACCCTAACATGACAATACATTGAGTAGGATATAAACTAGTTTCATATAATTTACTAAATAAGAGTTAACATAACTCACCTACAAGCAGTCTGTAAATCGTCAGTTATTCTCCATTAAGCCATAAACTGAACAAAAGTTATTACTGTCCAATGAACTATAATATTGATTGAAGCTAATTAAACTAAGCCTGGAGAAAATGTTTCCACAGATTGTCTCCGACTGTCTTTTAGAGAAGAGATTGAGTTTCCATGGGCATCGTATAAGATAAAGCGGTCCATTTGGACCCCGATTAGGTTTTTAAGAAAAAGCATTTTTATAGATAACGGCAAACAATTTGACAGAACTAATTTCTTTTCACTCCTGTGTGGTTATTTTGGTCGACAGAAAAATTTGTAACTCCCCATGATTTATTTTGTTTTTCAGGATGTTATAACTATATTTTCCACTTATTGTTTACTTGTGCTACCATGATTGTTTTCTTTTTGTTTATTTTCTCGATTTTTTATTACTGTACCATTAAAAAACATAGGGATGCAAACCTTTTAAAGAAGTAGGTTGTACATTTCTCCTCCCTTGTATTAAGACGATTGTTTCCCTAGTTTTTACGTAGAGGATACATCCCATTGTCACCACATTAAGAGCATCCATAAATACGGGTGTATTGATTTATACAGTTGAGATGTTCTAAGCTATGATAATTAGGATTAGGCCATCATCAGCGTAGGATTTTATGGGAATGCGTTACCATACAATTATTGATTACATTAACTATCGATAATCTTACCACATCTTCACCAACCTTCTTGACGTGTTACGGCCTATATTGTTGGGATATGGCTAGCTTAGTTTTATTTGCAGTTATGACTAGGTGTTGTAGCACTGTCATAAAATGATCAGCAGCTCAGTCTAGTTGGTATAATTTGCAAATATTCCTATATAAGAAGTTAAACAATGGTTTTTGTTAAAAATATATATCTTAACATCGAAGATTACTGCTGTTTTTACTAAAAAAAGTCTTGTGTTTTGCCACCGTTTTTCAAGCCGATCATAAAATATGCAATGATGGTTGTCAGATGTTGACTTATCTAGTATAACACTACTTTATTAAAACATTCTTCATAGACACGGATTGTAATCATCTAAACTATTTTATTGTAAGGGTTACTTCGTAAATACTAAGCTTTAAAAAATTGTGAACTTCAAGAGGTTGACAAATGTGTGTCTATCTTATGCTCTGATTTTCATTGTTTTTCATGTTGATATTGTAGTAACAATGTAATATATTTACAAATTAATAGAATATCCTAAACCATTCAAGAAATATTTAAACTTTATTTATTCTTCACTTTTTTAATGCCAATCGAATTAAAGTAGCTCCAACAAAAAGTGTTACGAATTAAGAAACCTCAGATATTTTCTAACTACATAATAGCAGAACTACCCCAGATTCCAAACACTGTTTTTCAACTCAAAGTATTAAGGATGAAATGATCAACAAAGCAGTTAAGCATTTTTTAAAAAGATACCTCTTTGTCACATTTAATATCAAAAAGTGAAATTTGCTTCAAATCACCCGGATATTTTATTAACGCTCATCGTCTGGTTGATATAACGGATTTAATTAGCTTTGATATGATACACAATAAAGATCAATTAAATCCTCTTCTGTTTTCAGATGTTGGGTCTCTTCTGCAACCATCTGATGAAGATAGTTATTGATTATCGCAAAAGAAATTCAGTTGCTGCGCAATTTCTATTAAAAGAAAACTCAAGTGAAGACAAGTAAAATAGCTACTCAAACCCTTCTACTAAACCCCTTCATCCAAATCAATCTATGGTTTATAAATCATGTTTTCCAATATTTATAGATTTCCTTCCATTTCTAAATGCTCGGAAATAAAATGATAGTGTATTTATGAAAAATTAGAATTTAAGACGGAATTTCTACATTATCACTTCCTTTGGAAACCCATAATTCATCAGCAGGTTTGCTAGAATTTCTGTAAATAATCGGATAGACGAGTGCTGGCTTAACAAAGATTACTTCACTTCATACTGCACCAAAATTCAACGACCATATTGCTTCCAGTTAATCAGCATTCCAAGAAATATTGATCTGTAAATGAAAGCTTGGTTTTTTAAGTTATCCATAATGGAGCAGTCAAATAACACAAACAATGATCTTATGCAATCGACTAGATTTTTCTTTCATTCTAACTTTTCAGATTTCGTTTACGAGTACCATTACAATGCTCACTAGGAGTATGTGTGCACTTATCAAATTGCTTATATACTCTTGTTACTTCTCGTGGAGGTGCATTGGTGCTCACCAGCATTCTCCATCCAGCTCCATCCTCGACAATCCTATCCAGTTGTTCCCACATGCTATTCATCATTTTCATATCTCCTCACAATTCTCGGTGCACTGTGTTCTCCGGCATTCCCAATTTCCGTTTCCCTTCACAATTCCAAGTTAGCGCTTGCTTCATGATGCAGTTCGGTCATTTCCACAATGTATGTCCTATCTATTCCCAGAGTCTTTCCCTCATTTCCTCTTCAGATGGAGGCTGGTTTGTTCTCTCCCACAGTAGGCTGATGCTGACGATACCCGACCAACGGATATTGAGTATCTCACGTAGACAACTGTTTATAAATACTTATGCCATTTTGGTGTTGGTTGTAATAGTTCTCGAAGTTTCAGCTCCGTACAGTAGAACTGTATTGACGTTCGTATTGAAGATTGTCACCTTGATATTGGTTAAGAGACAGTTGTTTTGAGTTTCATATGTTGTAGAATTATAGGAATGTTGCCCTTGCTTTGCCAATCCTCGCCTTGACTTCTACATCAAATCCTTCTTGTTCGTCGATGATGCTGATCAGTGAGGTACGTGAAGGTTTCCACCTGTTGCAGAGTTTCTCCATAAAGTGTGATTGTTTCGATTGGTGTTCTCTGTGTTGTATTTGAGGATGCTAGTGTTTTCCTTGTGCATGTTGAAGTCTAATGCAACAGAGACCGCTGCTACACTTTTCATATTGATCTGCATTTGTTCGTGTGTATGGGATAGAAGGTCTGGGAGATCTGTGAAGTCCAAATCGTTTATTTGATTCCGAGCTGTCGATTGTATTCCGTGCTTCTCATTAGACGTGGAGGTCTTCGTAATCTAATCAACCACCATAAGAATGAGAAAGGTGAGAGGGAAAGAGACAGAGAGAGTAAGCAACCTTGCTTGACTCCGGTTCTCACTTGGAATGCGTCTGTCAGCCGTCCTACACGCACGACTTTGCATTGTAGTTCGTCGTATAAATTTCAGATGATGTTGGCGACTTTCTCAGCTACTGACACCATAGTGTGAAAAAAGGTTCCATAGGGTTCTCCTATCCACTCTGTCAACTGTTTTCGCATAGTCAGTGAAGTGGGTGTATAGTGACGAATTCCATTCAATTGATTGTCCAACGATTGCCCGTATTACCACAAATTGGTCTGTGAACAACCGATCCTTACGGAATGGAGTCTGTTGAACTCTAAATTGGATGTCTGCTGAATCTTTCATCTGGTTGAGCAACACTCTTTTGAAAACCTTTCCTGCTATCGATATTAGTGTGATTCCTCTATATCTCTTCTAGAAAATCACTGCCGGTCTCTTGCCCGGGTAATGCAGGAGGATTGGGCATGGGTTTGACAACCCCATCCTGTAGATAAAAACACCAGCCAAATTGCTTTTACATAATTTTATAAATATTCCAACAGTATTGTATTATATATTTTTCAGTGTTCTTATAGAATGTATTACTTTTTTCACAAAAATAAAATAAAATAATAGAAGCTTTGATTTTTCTCATTTATTCATTCAATTTGTGTGTTTGTTGTTTTATATTTCATTTGTAGAGAGAATTTTAGCTTTTTTATATTTAATCATTACCTTGGTTGATTATTCTGAGACTGACTATTTAAAATGTTTTGATAACAACTCTGTTTTTCTTTTCATCATGTTTATCGTCAGGATATTCGTAAATGAACACAGGGATTGTTGGTTTATATTGAAGTATTTCATTAAATGTGATTACGATTTATCAGTAGACATGCTTTCAGTTAGTCGTTGAATTGTATTCTATTATATATATATATATATATATATATATATATATATATATATATATATATATATATATCTTCTAGGTCTAATAATGATCTAAATCCACTCTTCAATTGATATGTTCAAAAAGATGCATATGGTCAGGACCCTACACTAATTCTGAAGGCGAGGTATTAGTGGATATTAAGTCTTTTTGCTTTATCACTTATGTAAAACGATTTTTCACCGATGTTTCTGTAGCGTGGCGTCGAGTTGAGGTTAACTATGAACACCGCTACAAAGAAGCACGTGCCAGATAAATCAGAAGGCGAGGGTTGGACGTAACCAAATAGATCCATAAAATCTCCGAGAAGCCAAATATCAGAAGGCAGTTAATGGACCAAGTCGAGGTGTATATTTGCTGGCGATCTCGTGGCATCGAAAGGATACCGAGATCGTGCCAGGATACAACCTTGGTTACAGAAGGTAACCGAATTCGCGCGAAGTTACAATCGAAGTGTAAGTAAAAGAATGGAAGCACAAAATAGCTGTCATTAGCACAGTCAAACAAAAGCACGTTAAAACAAACACTGGTACAGTTGGTTATAATAATAATTGTTTTTATTAAACCAGTCGTGTTCTCGTGATAAATGTGAGTCACTACAGGAGCCCCCCGCTAGAAAGGGTTTACACTTTCGATAAATAGCGGTTTGAATCGTGGGACTGATCGGCTGACGAGCGATTGTAGGACGGAAGAATTGGCGAACAGGAAAGCGATCGTTGATCGTCGAGTTGCCAACGAAGGTCGTTTTCGGAGAACGGTACCAGGAGCGATGTGTTGTATTTATTGCTTGAGTTGGCATGCTACACCAGAGTGGTTTGTATCCAGAATCTGAAGATGGCGTTCGTAGGGGTGCGGACCAGAAACGCTGCAGACGTAGGACGAAACCACGTTGAGCCGATGAACCAGAAGCGACCATAACGACCAAGTTCGAGACCAAGCGTATGCCAAGCATTCGAAACCAATATATCGACTGAGTACGTTGACAAGAGCGTGGGTGATCAGGCCAGCTTTCGCCAAAGTTGACTGAAGTCGACGGAACCAAACGGAGATGGTCGAAGGCGTGGGCTCAGGAAACAAAAAGAAAATCAAAAAAGAGAAGAGTGTAGCATGCGTGTAGTATAGGAATAATCCTACACCGTATCGGTTGTTAACTGTGCGGCTAGTCGCGGAAGCGTACGGGTAACCGTACTCGGCGACCGGAACGTGAGACGGTAGTCTCGTTCGCGTCGCGTGAGCCTGCAATCTCATCCGAAGTCAAGGGCGGCGTGGTCTGCTGATCTGGACGTGAGACTGTCGTCTCATCCGTAGACGGTGCAGATGACGCGTGCTGTTGACTGGGACGTGAGAATGAGGTCTCAGATGTATCTAGCGTGGGACCTGAAGATGGTTTGAGGATCCCGCTAGTAGGTTTGATAGGTCTAGCATTGAATCTCAGGTTATCAGATAGGGCACTGTCATCGACGTGTGCTGGTTTGAGACGATCAATGCTGACGATCTCGACGCGTCCATATCGATCAACCTTGAAGGTCTTTTCGTGACGAGCGATCACGTGAAAAGGGCCTTCGTAAGGTTGTTGCCAAGGTTTGCGTACCGAATCTACTCGTATGAAAACATGTGAACAGGTAGATAACTCTCGAGGGAGAGCGACCTGTCGATGTTGTATTCGAGTTGACACCGGAGACAGCGTTCGCATAAATGCAGACAGTCGATGGACGTAGTCTGATTTACCGAAATTAGGTCTGCTCCGTGGTGTGAAGAATTCTCCGGGCAGACGCAATGTCGTGCCGAATACCAGTTCAGCGGCGGAACATTGTATATCTGCCTTCAAGCTCGTTGTGATCCCTAAAAGAACGAGCGGTAAGGTTTCGTGCCAGTTGCCGTTTTCGTGTGCTCGTATAGCACTTTTAAGTTGGCAGTGAAACCGTTTACTTAACCATTTGGTGCTGGGTGGTAGACAGATATGCTTATGCGTATGCATTCCGTACCAAGCAGCCGGGTCAGCGAGGAGAATAGTTAATAGGGGAAACTTTCTCGAATAAAGCGTGGAATTCATCGTCACGCGAATAAAAAGTAACAAGGATTCGGTACACATACATGTGAGTCTATTATATTAATACTATTCTTATCGTTATCCGTCATGTCGAGTATATTAAATATTAAAAAATATGAAAATATACGACAGACGTGGATAGATAAATCATAGACTCACCGAATTGGCTTCTTTGGAAGATTTGACCAGATGTTGAGGCGTGTTCCAAACTTTGGGATCACCAATTGTAGCGTGGCGTCGAGTTGAGGTTAACTATGAACACCGCTACAAAGAAACACGTGCCAGATAAATCAGAAGGCGAGGGTTGGACGTAACCAAATAGATCCATAAAATCCCCGAGAAGCCAAATATCAGAAGGCAGTTAATGGACCAAGTCGAGGTGTATATTTGCTGGCGATCTCGTGGCATCGAAAGGATACCGAGATCGTGCCAGGATACAACCTTGGTTACAGAAGGTAACCGAATTCGCGCGAAGTTACAATCGAAGTGTAAGTAAAAGAATGGAAGCACAAAATAGCTGTCATTAGCACAGTCAAACAAAAGCACATTAAAACAAACACTGGTACAGTTGGTTATAATAATAATTGTTTTTATTAAACCAGTCGTGTTCTCGTGATAAATGTGAGTCACTACATTTCTTTGTTGAAGAAAAATTTCGGGTTAATGTTCACTGCTCTCATACATCGGACGAAGTATACCCTAACTGTTGTATTCGCTATACTACTAAGTAACATGTGAAATGATTTTTCTTTCCTGTGTTAAAATGTACTTCACCGAAATGTATTTCTTTTAAATCCAGAATTATGCTCCAGGATTAACTTTATTCGCTGCCTAGTTTCGTTAATATCCCAACAACTTTTATCACCTTACAATCAAATATATTTTCGTAACATCTATTAGCATATGGATGTGTTATTTTTTTCTCAAGAACGCTATGTGGTTGAAAAATGCAACATGATTGCGTCTATTTTTCTAAACCACAAATTTCTTCTTTTCCTACTTTTCTTAGGCATTTATGAAGGTTTATTTGTGTTACATACTAGCTGAAATTGTTTCATTTTCATAATTTAACCCACAATTTTAATGCTTGTTCTTCTGTGGATCGATCAGTAGCTAATCGTTTCATGTATTATTTACATTAAAATTACACAATTAAATTTGACCTTGTGATTCAAGTCTGAGATTAGTGAGTAGATTCAGTTGTGATTTTTTAAATGTTCTAGATACATCCTTTTGATAATTAATAATATTTCTTACATAATAAGCTGTAACTAAAAGTTTGTTAAACAATATTTTACGTATTTACTGAACAACCAAGAATTTTTATACGAAGTTGGTTTATTAGTTCATCAATCAATTTTTGGTCCATAATTTGAATAAAATCTTTCCTTTTGTGTAACAACGATAGTCTATTTATTTTTTCATTTATTTTTAGCCTATTTTAAATCCCTTGCTTCTACCTAGTCAGGGGATTTAATAGAATATCCATCAAATTATCAAAGCCATTATTTTTCATTCTGCTTTCACTAACAGAATCGATGTTTCAGTCAAGAAAGTCAATTTCTTTCCTACTATTCACTTTTTACATAACAATTTACTGTCAATCAACGATCTTTGATCCTGAAACCGGTAAACACTATCCAATATCAGATTCTTCTCGTATAGAAGACATTCCATTTTTGTTACCTAGTCCTGATCCTAAAGAGTATCCACCAGAATTTCTTAACTCTTTACTGGAGCATTGTAATGATCCCATGCCTAGTTACATCGAACTGTTCTCAAAAGCTTGGATTGCTTTTAAAGAAATGGGTTTCAGCAAATCAACGTTTCAAAACACTTTCTTATTTGTTCGCCGCATCATCTCTGCTACACGCCCATTACAAGTGTTTCATGCTTTATTGACAGGCTTTTTACTTACTCTTCTTCGAGTGTATATCACACGAAAGCTTTATACGGTGAGTTTTTTTTTTGACAACTTAACACCCACTTATTAGTTCGCTATGTATTCAAATGAATGCATTGTAGTGCTTAAGAACGAAGTGAATCTATAAGTTGTGGATTGTTTCGCGTTTCATCAGTATGATGTGTGTAGTCATTTCCTATTTAAAAAAACTGTCTACATACACGCTTCCTCCTATTTAATATACGTAGTTTGGCCTACACTATTATAAACTAGAGTAAAGAGTCATAGTTAATTATCTCAGTTTAAAGTAGGTTATAATGTAAACAAAGCTACGTGAAATAATCCGGGTTGGTTTGGTACGACCTGATAATCTTCGTATCAGTTTAATGCACACCATCTTACATCTGTCTATCCTCATGGAGTATAGGCCGCCAACCAGGATTTTCCAACTTACCCTGTCCTGAGCTCTCTTTCCATTTGTTCCAAAGTGCTGTTCGTCCTTTAGATATCTGCTTCCGATTACTGATGCAATGTGCTTTCTTGTTTGCCTCTTTAGTATTTAGGATTCCAAGTTAAGGCTTGATTTATGATGTAGCTTGGTGATTTTCATAATATGTATATACACCTCTTCCTAATTTCTTCCCCATCTGGAAGCTGGTTTGTTCTATGCTACAGTAGGTTGTTGTTAATGCATACCATCTAATATTATAATATTCACTGATTATAATTGTCTATTGATAGGATGAATTTGCGTTTATGTTTAGGCGTAGGTGAAGTTACGTATGACTGAAAATGTCATAAAATGGTAGTTCAACTTCAGAATTTGATTTGAACCCACACCAGTAAAGTCGAATATCTATGTAGTCAGAACTCTGAATAATCATTTATGCTGTTATTACTTGAATAGGCTGTGAGTAATTACTTGTTGATTAGCCTTCACTGATATGAAGTATATCGGGGCAGTTATCATTTTCTGAAACCAGATATGTCTGTATTAGAAGACAGAATAACAATAGCTGATATAGAGGATATCTAATACAAAAGTAAACATTTTCAAAAGCTATTTATTAAGACGTATACGATTTTAGAGTAAGGGTTTTTATAGCATACACAACAGTAATCATTACTGACTTATATAGCTTTTGTCCTATAGACTTGGGATTTGAGTGTTCGATCTCTAAGTGAACCTTCCATGTTTATTAATTCGTTTTTGTACCAGTTACCCTTTTTAAATTCAGCATGTGGAGTTTGTCCATAGGATTGGCTTTACTGTGTTTATATTACACTCATTTATCTTAGAGGATTTTACGACAAAACTTCACTGGATATTAGCTAATTAACATGAGTAATTTTACTTCATTTCACTGTATATTTTGTGCACACTATCCGGTTGCTCAGATCAAAGTAATTAAGTTCGTTTAAAATGTAGAAATGATTTCCAGTATGATGAGTGTGTTTTCAGAATTTTGCAAAGAAGATATATTTCTATTTTTTAGAGGCTTATTGCCGATGTTGGTGTAACTCCAGAAGTTTCTGGTAAACTTATTGAATCTGGTTGGAAATGTTTTTGGTTCTTATTTATGTGGCTTTTTAGCCTACAGGTTGTTGTTTTGAGTGGCAGAACAGATTTCCAATATCCCTTGTGTGTCTTTCGCAATAACATATTTACAAGTAAGTATTCTTCTCATGGAATTAATTGTTTAACTAGATCTACGGCTTCCTGCCGATTACCTTCAACTAATCCACCTAACCCTAGAGTGTTTGTATAAACAAAATATCGGACAATATTATAAAACACCTGACAGTTTCTGGACTTACTGTGTAGCTTTAACTGCGTTCTGAATATGTGTTGGACGGATTACCATTGATTCTCGAAATTTAGAATATGTTGAAAGTGTAGTATTCAAACGATTTGACTACTTTAACCTCATAAGCATACATTTTCCGTTATCTTCGTATAATGCTGAGTAGAAATTTTAAGAAGGTAGTACATAGTGCCACAATTACAATCATTCGTAAAAATGATCTGGCATGAAGAGAAATATCTTTGTCATTAGGAGAGAGCACTTTTGAACTGAAATACATTTACACTTTTTCTAAGATATGATAATAAAGTAAACTATTGTATATGTTTAATAAATTAAATCTATGCTGATAATGTTGACTGTGTCAAATCACTGTGCTTACCACCGTTAAATCCTTAGACTTAAGATATAAAATAGATCTAATTTTCCTTTCCATTGTACAATGAACTTCTATTAACATCAATATCAAATAGAGTTATTGGAGTACGTTTATTCAGCATAAAATCGTCTCAATAATCCCGATTAGATCAGACCATAGTTTTACAAGTAATTTGTCAGTTTATGTCAGATGATATACTGATATATCTTTAAAATAAAGCCTATTGTAGTGAATGAAAACTTAAGCGGGGTAAACGAAATTATTGGATAAGGCAAAATTACACAGTGCTTTCCTAAAATATGGAAACCATACATTAAGTACATTATTTTCACATTTCCCATCAACTGTCCTTTACATACCTCATTATTCTTTCAATTCTGTTATTATTCCAATTGTCCTCTGCTTTCCTTCCTGTTCTCTTCAATTCAATCTTCTGCTGGTGGTTATTCCACTTCTCATTATTGCTACATACCGCTTAATCTGTCAGCATAAGCAACATACACCACAATATAATTATAAAACAATATAAAGAGGTGTGTCAGTTGTAATGTCCACTTACATTTTCATGCTTTTGACAATTATATATTCATTACATAAAAATAAACCTTGACTTCTTCTATATGCATCATATCTTTAAATTATGAATAGGTATTGTTTCAGGAAATTAATTTGATGGGATTCAAAAATGCTCTATGTACTTTATAGATTTTTCATCTCATGAGAACTGTAATATATTGATTATGATTTTTAAGGGTGACTATTCTTAGTGTCGTGATCAGTTTTGATAGAAAAATGAAAAGGATTCAACTATAGGACTAGTTGTTGTGCTAAACAGATTTATTTAAATGATCGATTCAAATGACATAGAATGAATCGTTCGTTAACGCCTATCTAATTTGATTTCAGTGTACAGAGATATGGAAACTAAAACATGAATTAGCGTCATAGTACAATAAATATTTCGCATAAGTGGTTCGATTTTAAAAGATGTTAATATATGGTGAATAGTTGTGTTTCATTAACTGCGGTTTATTACCTTGTGTTAGTGGCTACGATAGTTATTTCATGAAGTTTGACTGTCTCATAAAAAGCATTTTAAGCTAATCAAAAAGATTGTGAATTATCAATTTTCCAAATCCCTAATCAGAATATTTAAATTCCGAGAATTTTCAGAGAAAATTTAAGATTACATATTCATAAATATATGATTGATTGTAATGGAGTTCATCAACATATATTTCTTTGTGAGATGTATTGATACAACATAAAAGTTAGTTGTTATTGACTAATGGTACCTAGGTAAGATGTTGAAGTTGCTTGGTTCTGAAAGCATTCGATCTGTAACCAGTGGATATCAGACATGAACATCGCTCCATCTACTTTGATTTAAAAAAATGGGTAGTATCACTAGCCTTCATACATGATGTGGCTCAAAGTTGAGCAAATAAATTCATGCTTAGTATAGGAGTTACATTTTAAAGCTTGAAGTAGCAACACTTATTGAAAAAAATGGAACTTCAAAACTAGTTTGAAATCAAATTCGAACCACTAACTTAAGTGTTATGTTCAAGAAAAGTAATCCTTTACATGATTTAATATAGAGTCTCATTGATTTATAAGTACTGTTTTCCCAGTTGGCTGTATGAAATATTAGACACTGACCAGAAATATAACCACTTAATTTTAAAAAAGCAGCTCAATGGTTTAATAACCCAATTTTTCACTGCATAGTGACAGTTCCAAACGTCTCTTCAATTATTCTGATAGTATCAAGTGTGACAGAATCAAAATTGTTCTTGATTACTAAGTAAAATCAGAAATATATGCATGCACATAACTTGACTAACTTCATGATTTTTTTTCTTAAATTGAATTGTTTTCATCAGTTGGCTACTTTGATATTCCGACCCCTCCTGATTACTATTGGCTTTATACACTGCAGTTGGGATTCTATTTACATTCATTATGGAGTGTATTTTTTATGGATTTGTGGCGTAAAGATTCTTCTGTATTAGTTCTACATCATTGTTTGACACTTTTACTACTAGAAGGTTCATTATTGTTAAGGTAAGATAAATAAATTATTCTCCATAAAGTAGTTATTACATTGCTTCGATTTATTCCTGATAACTCATGAAAATAATTGAGATTAACATTATCTTAAATTCGTTCAACATTATCTTATTCTCAATCATTTTTGTGATTTCATATACCATATGAATTTAAAAGCACTTTAAGGGCCGATTACCACTTTGATTTTTATTTAATCTCAATGGTTAAGATCATGAGTCAGTTGAAGCTAGACCACAATGGAAAACCTGGAATCACTGGATGGCCGTTTTGTCCTATTGTGGGACACCTCAGCAGTGCGCAACCACGACCTCGCCCCCTGCAAGCTTCGAACCCAGGACCTACTGGTTTTATTTAGTCGTTAACATTTTATGAAAATTAACGGAAACTATTCAAAACAGTCTTTCTATAAGCCTTAATTTGTACTTTACTTCTATTAATGGTGTTACATATCAAATGCAATCTTTCAACATCTTTTTATACTCTGTATATAGCATACAAAGAGTGCTTGTAGGTATAAAGAAACGATTATTTAATGTGCTAAAACATTTTGGAGAATTAAATAAGAATCAAGTGAATCATCAGGAGAAGATGAAAAATCAAAAATAAAGTGAAAATAATTTTTCGAAGAACATTAAAAATTGAAAGTAGAAATAGATAGTGGTAGGGGGATCACTTCCTAATTTTAAAATTAAGGATAGGAGAAGAAAATGATTTCGTCAGTACCCAACTCAATTTTTCTAATAGTTTTCGTTCATACTTTCTCTTCATAGATTGTAGGATATATATAAAGTTTGTGAAGTATCTACTGTACAACTCAAAACTAATTAGCTCGCTATGAAGAATTGAATAATATGCATTTTCACACTGATTCCAATTCTACTGAAGTAAATTTAATCAAACCCATTTACAAAACACGTTTTCCGTACATGACTTTAAACTGCAAATTTTCTATGTGAGGGATAGGGTTGGTACTCAACTAGCTGAACTGTGTTTCAGTGTTCAAATTTGTAACTTAGCTATTAAAAGTAGAATACTGTAACTCATAAGCCACCAATCAATCAAGTTCGATTGAAATAATAAATAACACTTATTGGCAATAATCTTACCTCTTATGAAAAGCCAAATGTTCAAGTGCAGTCACAGAAATGTACAAGTTTAAAATTTGAGATAAGTTAACTAAACTATTCGTGAAAGCTATATGAAATATTTTGGAATTCCATCTGATGATTAGATATTTATCGATATCTATTGGTATAACGTATTAATTTTAATGAGTATAAACTTTAGAAATGAGGAGAGGGGTTGCTTGATTTAACAATCACAGTAACCGACCGAACGGTAGACCCAGGGCTCACAAATCACTATCAACTACTGTTGTAAATGAATCTCTTTGGGCGCATATTTATTCGAGTGGTTATTAGTAGATTAATCATAGACTTCAGTACAAGATGAATATTTTCAACTATAAAATAAATCAAGAAAATACTTATAATGTTGTAAAATCCCATAGAAATCCAACACCAGGAGAAAGCTTCATTCTTTAGTACTCATTCGATTGCTATATGGTAATTTGTAACAGTGCCCCAAATGCCCTGGTATGGCCGAGAGTGGGGTGGGCCTGCTCTCCCTCTCGAAATGTTCTCACACGGCCACGCGTATACAGCCTCTGCCAGGGAAGTCCTACCACTGCCTTCTCGTGGTGGGGTGTTGTTTACGAAAATGAGAGGACGAAAAGCGAATTCCGGTGCTTTAACCGGATCACAAAACAATGGTGCACATGGGCTCCAGTATCTGCGGGAACAAATGGCGTATGAACCAATCGTTGGTCACCGGCTACCATGGGATGCATCTCCTTACGATGCTCCACTGCCTTGTGGACCAGACCTTCAGATCGAAGGCTCGAGGAGCGGCTCCCTAAGAAAACCACCTGCTTCGGTTTGGGCACCCGGGTAGTATCACAGCCCACACACACAAATATGGTGTGGCGCATATATATTTGGTACCCTTTTGTACCAATATTTATGTGTTGAAATAAAATAAATAATTTGTAACAGTGCTTATTTCAGTATAGCTGTTAGTATTCTAAAAAGCATTGGCATTCCATTCTGTAGTGTACGTGCTTGGCCATGATACATTTGCTTAAGTTAGGATCTAACCACTAATCAAATGTCGAGATTTTGTGATAACATTTATGGTAAGCGTAAATAAAATGGCCACTACATAATCTTACAGTTGACTTTAGATACATTCAGCATTCATTCAAACGTCATTAACAAAAATGCATCGTTACAATATTCAATGAAAATGTTTGCTTATTTTTATTAACAAAACGGTTCTCTAAAAACTCATATTGACTGACGCTTAGTCAGCAGTAGTAAAAAAACGTGACTTTCAATCATTAAGTCACGGATTTAAGTTTTTTACTTCATATTATTCAATCTTGTTGGCTAGGAAATATCACTAGTCTTTACAAAATAGGGTTTAGTTCAAAGTTAAGTATGTAAACTTGGACTTGATAATTGAGTTTTATCAAAGAAGTTGTATCTTATGTCTTTATTATTGGAACATGATGTCTCGATCCAAGGTTTTTCCAACTTTATTCATCGTCTTGTTGTGTGTGAAATTACATGTGAATTATGAGTTATTTTAGTCAGTGAGTAATGTAAGTTATCACACGTTGAATAACGGTTACTATTATTTCTAGCTGAAGTTCAAAGATGATAATGTGCTGTATTAGCGTGAGCGTAAAATTTAAAACGTCAGTGATCTATTCACCTTAAAACTGTTTGTATTTATACCGAAAGAAATTGTAGAGACCTGTAGGCTCTTAGTTCGATTCCCCATGAGGTCGTGAATAAACACTGCTAAGGGGTTTCATACTAGGACTTAACAACTATCCAGTGTTTTCTATTTTTGACTGTTGTCTTACTAAACCCAGTCCTTGATATCTAGTATGAAATCTAAAAGTCTCCACAAACCTTGTGTAGTAATTTCGTTCTTACTATCGCATTTTTTTCAATTCAGTCTTCTAGTCAAAAGTTCTAACTAAGCTTTACTCATTATGTGCTTAAAGTTTATTTCTCTCTCCGTTTGTGTGTTTTCAAATATATCTTTTAGAATACATCGTGCGGGTGTTGTAACTTTACTTCTACATGATTTATGCGATGTATTTTTAGAATTCGGTAAAATAAATATCTACTTGCGTATTCGACGCGGAAAAGTGTATACTATTCACGTAACTATTGCCAATATATGTTTTGCACTATTTGCAACATCATGGTAAGTAAATTGGGAAGTAAAATGATTCATTGGTAAATTATTATTCTATTAATAATTTTCAAAAGACTAGTATTTGAACGAAGAATATTCTTTTCTATAAATTCTCTTCAGGTTCTACAATTATATATACAAGTTAATAATCCGAAAAATCAGAATGGGTTTTGTGGAGATTTTTAGAAATTTCACTAGTTGAAATCATGAGTCAATTGAGGAGTCCCATACCAGGACGAAACGGCCGTCTAGTGCTTCCAGGTTTTCCATGGTGGTCTAGCTTCAATTGACACATGATTTCAACTTGTGAAAAATCCGAAAAATGGCCAGGTTAAGGGCAAAGTACATCGTTTAAAGCATGTGAATTTAGGATTGTGTTAAACAAAATACAATAAAATTGTTAATGTTGATATGACTCATATAGAATGTTAACTTGAATCTGCGTATACGTTAAGTGAAATTTTATGATCCATGATCAGAATAAATATGGGTCAAATAGGGTGAGAGAGAAATAATAGTGTAATTACAATTCGATCAAATTAACACTCAGATAATTCCCCAACTCAGAAAGTCTATTGAAATTAAGACAAATAATGATACACTGTGAAGTGTGTGGGTAATTGTAAAAAATTTTAAGTTCTCATTGTGGTTCAGTAAATAAAAATGCAAATTTTGCAACATCATATTTAACCGCACACTTGCGGTTTAAAAATTTCAAAAGATGATTTAGAGTATCCTTTTTCATTTTCGGGAAATATTACATTACCTAGTATTGGAAGGGTTCCTTAGTTACGAAATGAGTTTTTATATTTGCAAAAGCTATATTTTTCTGATAGTATTTGATAAAATTTTAAATTCCCATCTTAACTTTGGAAATGTACCATTCAGATTTATTTGCTGTCATGCACAGTTACAGAAAATCAGCAAGATCGTATAAACTTAGAGTTTAAGTTTTTCCATTCTAAGGAATCAAAATTTATTTGTCATCTCCAGGATATTTGTACGTAGTTACAAACATTCTATTTCCATGCTATATAGGCTTTAATTGACTTGATTATTTTATTCAGTCACTATGTGATTATCAGCGGAATGTATTGTAGACTTGTCTAGTCCTGATCCTAATCAATTAATCTACGCCGTCTGTAATCACTAGGTCTTTCTTTCTATATATACATATTTAGATAGCGATTCGGGCTACATATTTCCTAACTATTCAAGTGTTGAAATAATTTCCCTACTTTCAATTTGCTTTAACCTACTGATACATTCGTACACTGTTTCAGTAATTTATAACTTCAATACGATGAGCGAAACTGTTCTGTTCTCTTCTTTATCCATCCCGGATAACTGGAGTAATTACACCATTTTTGTAAATGAAGTTATCTGATATGAACTCAATAAAATCAGTCAAAATACGTTTAGTTTGTTGATGAAATATCAATAAAAAAATGATTAGAACTGACACAAAATATCATCAAAAATGGATTAAATCTCTATAACTAGGGTTGATACTGAATAATGTACTATAATAAAGTTTCAACCGAATCGATAATAAATTAATTCATATAAGTTATATTTTAAGATTGCTTATCCCCAGCACTTACTGATTATGTATTTTAATTATATTATTTACTAAAGTATCTTTACAAAAAGCTAACAATACCAAGTGTTTAAATATACATTTTCCCCTCCATACCTCTTTATTCTATTATATGTGACGAAATTCAGTACGGATACAGAAGGCTCGACTAGCTTTTGCCAAATTGCGTCATTTATGGCGTAGATGAGATATCCGTCTACCAACCAAAGGACGGGTTTACTGTTCAGCAATTCGTTCCGTCCTACTTTATGGCAGTGAAACATGACTGGTAAGAGTAGAGGATATTTGCAGGTTACTAGCATTCGATCATAGGTATCTTCGAAGCATTGCTCGTATATCCTGGACCACCGAGTAAGTAATGTGGTTGTTAAGAAACGGGTACTAGGTAAGAATGGTAAATCAATTGATGACGTAGTGAAGCCTCATCAGTTGAGATTGCTGGGACACGTGTTACGTATGGTCAACAACCGACTGCCTCGACGAGCGATGTTTCATGGTGTAGGAGTAGGTTGGAAGAAAGCTAGGGGCGGCCAGACCAAAACATGGCACAAATCCATGAAGTCACTGACACGTGGACTGAGTGAGCCATGTTGGTAGGTGTAGACTACCTGGTTGGGGACCGCGAGATGATAACAACCGATGGTTAGAGACCCTGAATGACATGGCTCAAATCGTTTGCAATGGCGCAGGTGCATCCACTCTTTGTGTTCTCCCAAATTCTGATCTTCTGAATTCTTCATGTCTCTTTTTTTCTTTCCAAATTTATTTCACTATATTATAACCTAGAATAACATCATTACTTCATTAAGTAAATCATAAAAGTAAAGAGAATTCAGTGATGAAAACTATCTTTTCGACAAAATTATTTACTTAAGCTGTACATTTGTATTTATGATTGTATGGTAAATATATGTCTATAGAAGAATAGAAAAGACTGCATCATAAAGTGTCTTTCGTTCTTCTTCATATCTGTCAACTGGACAATTATGTTTCATAATTATTTCCAGCCTTATATTCTTGTCTTACACCTTGATTATTGCGTAACCTCATTTGATAATAAAAGTCTCGAATCAATTTATGATGCAATCTTTCTTATCCTTCTATAAGGATATTTATCATACAACTGTAAATACCAATGTACAGCTTAAGTAAATGATTTTGTCGAAAAGAAAATCTTCGTTGAACTCTATTCTCAATCAACTATTCAATCAACTCATGATCTCAACTATTGAAATTACTATAATTTCCACAAACCCCTTTCTGATATTTTAATTAAGTATGCTAAATAATTTCACTCTAATTATATTGTTTTTTTCGTAAATTTGAGCTGTTTTGCAACTTATGAAAAGTCTTAAAATATGGTGAATTTATTCAATTCTTCTAATTTGGTTACTTTTGCTCTCTATACATCAACTTTTATTGTTACCATTATTAGTGAATTCATATGAAGTTATATAAATACATTTTGCAAATGGGTTTCCTTAAATTCCTCTGTTTTTTCTTCATAGGGTTGTTTTACGACTATATTTATTCCCATTGAAAGTTTTATACGCTTCCTCTTGGGGAGCTTATATTTGTTTAGTCGGTCGAGAAAACAGAGGATTTCTGTTTTTCAATTTACTGCTATGGTGTTTATTTGTAATGCATATATATTGGTTTACGGTATGTTGATGCTGTTTTTTTCCTTGTATTCTATTACACTTAAATGATTACATATCTGCTTCCTACTACATAATGTAATGTTCTTAGAGATATTCACTTTTATCAGATACTCTGTATTACATACCTATAGTTTTTTTTAAAGTTAAATTTCTTATGCAGTCATACAGTTAATATTTCGTAGTATGAAATTATCTATACTAAGTTCGGTAGTCATTCATATTAAATACTATATTTTTACTATTACCATTGTTTCTAGTTTAGTAGTCTATTTATAGATACATTTTGGTCCCAGTCATTCGTTTTAAGATCAATAAAAGGGTTAACCTATTCACTGAGGAGTCCTATACTAGGACGAGACGGCCGTCCAGTGCTCCCAGGTTTTCCGAGATGGTCTAGCTTTAATCAACTCATGAATTCAACCATTAAGTTACTACAATCTACGCAAAACCCCTTTCTGATAAATTTATGGTTCTTCAATCATATTATCTACATTCGACGTTTCCTGTCACTCATATTGTTACTAGGTCTACTACTTTGACATTGCTTCCAACTAATCGACTGATGGATTGACTCGAGGAAGTCTGAGACTGACAGAAAGTGGTAATTGAAAACGTGAAACGACATAGTTCGATTTATCAGTTTCATTGCAAATGTCCAATGAATGTTTTCTATTTGATTTGTTCAATTGTAATGTTTCTATGTACTTTACAAATAATACACGATAGCTTGTACTGTCGGATTGTACGGTGTCTATATTTTTAATTAACTTAATGCTCCTATTTATTCGACTACTTCATTTGTACGCATAGATTTTTGTGGTCCGTTAATTTGACTACAATTTGATTGAATGATGATGTTAACGAAATATACATGTCGTCAACCCTCATATATAATTATCAACTTAATTCGCATCAGAGAATAACGGAACAAAATAAGTCAAATACGAGAATGAATTTTGGATGCGTAGGTTTCATACACTCGTTGATCCAGACAGATAATCAAAGAAACAAAGCGGAGAAGTTGACCATATAAGGCAAATATGTCAACCTCATCTGATCAAGCGTGACTCAATGTTAATAAAGTTGAAGACATGTGATGAGTAGGATAAGCAATATACACACATACGATCAAGCTTTATCAGCGAATAATCGACAATGTCAAAATGTTAATCAAGAATATATAAATCCATCTGTCCAGATGCTAGAATAACCATGTGAGGTTGACATAATACTAGACGTCAAAAGATGACTGGTGTAGTCCTAATTTATCAATATTATCATCATTCACTTGTCTATATTATCACTTTTTCCTCTCTTGTATTTTCATTAGTTCATTATACGTATGGCCATTCGAATGTTTACAAGTCCATTAGAAGCATGTGATGATATACGTGAAGATACACCGAATAAAAAGATCGACAATATGAATCTGTGTAATCATAAGACTACATCAGAAACAGTTTTAAACAATAATCATAAACATATCACTGCTACTTATACTGCCACTGATATCACTGATACATCTTTCATTGTAAAGCAGATTAAACGAATAGAAAATAATAGTGATAATAATCATATGGATAAATCTTTGACAAATGGAAGTACATACATATCAACCAAGTGCAATTAACTAGAATTTATTTGTTATAGACAAGGATGAATTGTTATTTACACATAATATAACTTGTGAACAAACTATATTAGATAAGTTTGTGTTTCATACTCATTCCATTTAATTCTATTCATTACTGTTTTGTCAATGGTTATTTTCTATGCTCCTCTCTTATTTTATATTCTATTCACATATCTATTAATTTGTAAGAGATTCAAATTTTCTTTTCTGTATGTTTTAATTGTTGTTTGTTTACTTCTCGATTTCACTACACATTGATTTTTTTCACAATGAGATTGACACACACACACACTCACATACACATTGCAGTTAACTATGGATCTTTTATAATTTCATCTCTTTCAATATGGTGGCGCTTTTCCTTCAAGAATTCTTGTTCAATGTCTTAATAGAGATATATACAAGTCACTATTATTTTGTATTTTGTTTGTATTCTGGGAAAAACGATTAAATTTGTAACCAGATGTATTAGGTGAACTTGAGTTTTATTTTGTCTTTCTGTGATCTTTATGTGTAGTCATTTCTGTATGATATGCGTCTAGACACGCCCTCCCAAATAGAAGTAAAATAATACTTAATATTGTTGTTATTATGTAATGAGAGTGGGATAAAAAAGGTCCCATGGAAAGTGGGAGTACACAATTTGTACTTGACTTTCTCATATATTACCATATGTAGATCCGATTGTAATGTTAGTAAATATCTCCCTACCTCTTTTTCTTTCACTCTCTGTATATTGTATGATATAATGAAATCATCAGTCTTCTTTCTTTTTTCATGTATCATTTTGAACTTCTACTGTTTTCATTATTTCGACTTTCACTATAGTTTTTGGAGTGGTTTTTGTCTTTTGTTGTTGTTTACACTTTTGTTTTAATAAAACAAAGAAAAGAGTAGTGATAATGAGAGGAATGAAACTCAAGAAAAATAATGATGGTTTATTTCGTTTGATCTGTAGTCCAATGGTTAAATCATTCCACTATCTGTCATCAAGTTCGAGGTTTTGAACCTCGTTCCATCTAATTCGGTTTGGGCAACCGAGTAGGATCATTAGCCCATACATTTGAACAGTGTCTTATACTGAAGTTAAAATTGAAAATTTTATATATTTCATCCCTTCACAACAGACTCTGTGTATCAGTGTATTCGTAACGCGAGTTTTTCAAACCTTTAATTACCCGTGAGGGTACTCAGTCTTCGGTTACTATTATAAGACTTTAGGAATTGTGTAGACTTTAATAGTATGTTTGAGTGGTACTTAGCCTCAAAGCTGAATTGTCGATACAAAGACTCAAGAGGACGGATATTGAAAATGAAACAACTTACTGCGGAAGGTCTTATGTAATAAAGCGAAAAGGTTACGTAAATAATGTTTGACACAAAACTATGACAGTATTATCGGAAATGCAATTGACTGAAGGATATGCTGTTACTGGAGCACTCATCGGCCTGTGAAATGATGACCTGACTAATTGGCCAAATTTATTGAGTGCTATGCTATGGTTCAAAAGCAGTTGTGGTGCTGATTAGTAGATGTAACATAATAATTAGGACCTATAGCGCAACACTGGATCTTTAGCATAGTGATTACTAAATTATACCGAGTGAATTTGAACAACGCGAATTCCACTACGCTTGTGTTAAATAAAGAGGATTCAGTGTGTCTCAGTAGTTTTTCACCGGCTGTTATTAGTCTCAATAAATTATACCAGGAGACTTCCGGTCACATGTCATAAAAAATCATTCATTCTGAGCTCTAATTAGCCAATTTCACAGAAGCACTTTAGCCAATAAATGTCCACAGAGATATATGCGTGAAAATACCGTATCTTTTGGACATGATGGTAAGATGTATTTGAGTATAAACGATAATATGATTTTGATATGATATTTACAATATGGGATAAAGTTTGACAGCATCACATGTTCAAGGTCAAATCACTCGTCATGAGACTGACATTAGTTGATTATACACCACCAAGGTATAATAGGTTTGTTTTATTTTTTTTTCGAACTGCATCGTCTAGTTGAATCTAAAGAATTGAGTGCAATGACTATATTTGATGGCTAACATCAGTCTTGTTAAGAATATTGGATGTGGAAAAGAAATTAGCGATATCTTTTCTACAGTATCTTTATCCCGTTTCTTCTGCATTGACATGCAGTGATAAAACTTGGATAGATGAAAACGAAACTGTTTGGATTAGGGGATACTAAATCATTGGTTATTTCAATCTAGATTATTAACAAACAGTTTAGGCTTTAGTGAAAACGGAGTAACTGCCTTTTGAACAACCATAATATGAAGGTCTACCACCGAATATTACATCGTGTTGACCGATTTACGTGTAGGTGGACACTTACACGGGAAAGAGTCATCATGACTTGCAAGTAAGAGTGGGTAAACATTTATCAAACTATTCTCAAAGATCGGAAAAGTAATTTAATCATTCCCAAAGAATATTCAAACACATGGAATATTAGTACGGACGATCATTTCCGATAGCTTCTTCATCAGGATCGATAGTTATTAATCCAAGATTATTATGGTGTTACATCAAACAAAACAGTGAAGATGAATGAATCCATGGTATAAACTGAAATGGCGAATTTCCCGTCCATCGAATCTTAAATACCACAGATTACTAATGAAACAAAATAATTAGGTTGACGGGTTTTAATCAATCAGATAAAATCGCATGTAAAATCTATTTCATAGTTGTTGTGACAGTAATAACAACAAGAATAGGAAAGATGAATGTACAACTAAGGATAAGAGGAAATGTCTTGTAAGACAGTGCGAATCATACAGATTGAGGAAGGAACAAAATTGGAGCTATGAATAAAACGACCTTAATGTGTGCCAAGGTAATCAAAGAGGTTGTATATGTCTATTTCGTATACGTAAGTTATATTTCTTTGAGTTGATACTAGTTGCTTTAGCTATATGCAGTCAGTATAGCATTGTGTCTGTTGTAGGCCATTTAGAGCTTAACGGATAACTGAGGAAGTATCTTCAATTTTAATCTTGTGTCCTAACCAAGCCGGTAAGTTAAAGGATAATAATTTCGGCTTTATGACTAAAAATCCCGATAAAAAGATTATCGAAAACGATTGTTCTCACTAATACTCTGTTCTTGATTTATTCAGTACAACAACCAGTCAAACAGCATGGTTGACACTCATCTTTATCTACTGCCAAACATAAAATTGAAGTCGTTCACGAGGCTGATCTTAATTCATCTTCTGTGTTGTATAACAGTGATCTAAGAAGAATTCTAATTACTTTCGGCCATGTGTTTAGCTTAACCTGCCTTATATGTTCTCTAATAGTTTGAACTTATATCAAATCTTAACTGAATAATATTGGTTTTATTTTAACAAACATGATGGTGTAATTCGCATTGTTTTCCCTTATCATCTTTACTTCTTCCAAATTGTTTAACCTAACCTTTTTTTTCAGATTTATTTTAACAAGTAAAGGTGTTATTAGATTGCTTGAAATGTAACGCATTAACATATATGACAGGGTTTTAATTACCTTCGTCTTCTTATTGAATTATCGTAGTTTTTTTCAGTATTTGTTCATTGATCGAGTTTTATGATTGATTGATTGATTGATTAAACAGTCTTTAAGTACCTTGAACTCATTTCATTTTGTTAAATCAATAATCTGTACTTTATTACACACATGAAGTAATTAAAACTTTGTCAATCAATTAATTGTTCGGTATTTTGATATTCATTGTTGTTGTGCCTTTTTTCAAACTGCTTCTCTCATTCTCTCTCTCTCAATTGATTATGTCATGAAATTTTGTAGTTTCATCATATTCAAAGGTCATATTGATTGGTACTTGAAACTTGAAACCAATCTCAGTATTACGTTTTAGACCTAGCTGTTTGAACTTTACTTTCTAAAACAAATTAACAACCTTGCAGTATTCTGTTGATTCACACGATTAGATAAAGGTTATTGCGATGAGTTAACCATTTGATAATGTCTATCATACACTTTCAGTCATTTTAACTGAAAAAGTTACTTGGTACAAAATACAGACTTGATTGCTTACTTAAAAAGTGATATTAACTAGTTGATTATGCTGCCTTGTTAAAATGGTCAATTTTCCTCAGATTATTTTCTACCTTCTTTGTCATAAAAGGAAGACATTCATTAGTATTTGAGATTTAGTTCTTCTAGCGTTTCATTATTTAACGATAATAGCCTTATCGAAATAACAGTAAACGAAAAGTTATGAAAACCACACCTTATATATGGTTACTTAACGCTATTCTGTATGAAGTAATTCTAGTTGACGTATATAAACTGAGGTTTTTGCAAATTCATGCATACTACTATTTTGATAAGATTATTCGTATTAAATGGCGTAAAGTGAATCAATACAATTTTTTTTGTTTTTTCATTCATTGGCAGACTGGAATTTCTAATACTATCGAATATCATTTAACTATGGTCCAAATATTTTCAAACCGTTAGATCTGAACTCAATTTGAATTTATATACGTTAATAAAAAAAGAGAACATTCTTCTGATTACGTTGCATTCTCTGAGCTGGGTACTTGTTGTGGATGCGGAGGAATAGACCAATAATTATCATGTTAAGTCCAATGGTGTCCTTGGACTTTAAATGGATATTTCCTATTGGTCGATATCTGTTCACTTGTTGAATATTGTACAAAATGTTGTTTTCTATTTTTATGGTACGATGTGGTATGCTTGATTGGTATATAAACAAAGTATGTTTGAAATATAATGACTCATATCTCCGAGGCTGTGGCTTGTGTTCTGGACTCAACTGACTGGGCTAGACAGGGAAGCGAGACCAATCGAGACTCTAGGCCGTCCGTTCGTGTTTACGTGTCACTGTAATCGATCGATAAGTACACTGCTCTAATTTTCCAGTCAAGGACACAACAATTAGCACAGGGTAAAAATCGACAACAACCTAAAGTTATAACAGTACTTTTATTGAGGTCCT